ACTAGCGCGCCCCGCCCCGCCCCCCGCGCCCACCGCGCCCACCAACACGCGCGCGCGGACGCTAAACGTTCATAAAATAAAAGAGACTGCTATTTTCGGCCAGCACGAAAGACATTCCATGTTGTTGATTCTGAACGATTTTATAATGAAAAATAAATTCAGTGTTTTTCTTTAAAAATCAAATTGAAATTCTCAGAGGTTCCCTAACGATACGTACAAACTTTTCCATAATTAGAATGTTAACGAGTTATTAGAAGATTAACTCGGCCGAGGATAAATAACGTGATAATAAATGGTGAATAAAAAATGTTAGAATGTGGATTTAAAATACGATGCCATTGTTAAATGATAGTGACTAAAACTTTCTTCCATGATTATATAAAAGAATATACGTACGTGATTATCACCGATCTTAATAGATCGAGATATGAAAGGTGTTAACGAAATTATGTATTTTTTTTAAAAGATGGAACAATATCGATTGATGTACGATGAATAATGTAACAAAGTAGATTGTTTAGATATACATAGTTTACTAATATTTTAGGTGAAAATATAAGTTTTGTTGGTAAAGTGTTGATGAATAGATTATGTGAAGTTGTGTATATCATTGCAAATGTGTTTCCATTCGATACATTTACGTCCGGTGTCGATCTTGAACGAACGCAATGACGTCACGAGTCGCTGTTCACTACCGTAGTACGTCATTACTGCGAATGTTGATAGTATGTAACACGGCAACATTAACGATAGTTCCATTCGTCATTTTACACAAACTTTACTTTACCTTACACAATGTTACCTTTGTAAAAATTTTCGCTTCCTTTGGTAGAATTTTTATATTCTTTAAATTATTCAACATAACCTCAAAGCTTTGAAACTATAATCTAAGTGCTTTCGAAACGCTTTATAGACTGCTATCATTAAAGTTGTTATGTTACATGAGACACGATGGTGTTTAACTTTAGTATTGACATCAGTGACATTATAAAACAAATAATATAAATTATATTTACCATGTATAAATTATATGTAAAATTCTGATACTTATTCATTCATTAAAGTGCTTCTTATGGGTGTATCTAGTTTATTAGGAGGTTTTGATAATTATTCAATAATGTTATAGATTTAGTAAGGATAGAGTTAGCTATCGCGTAAGGAGGCACGTGTTGCCGCTTTGCCAATTTAGATTGTTGGTGCGCCATTGTAAAGTTACTGTGATCACTGATCATGTATACCTTATATGTACATACACACCCGTTATGACGGTCTTTTCTAAAACAATCCATACAAGTGGGCCAAACGTTGAAACTCTTCTAAAATCGTTCCTGTTGCTATAGTTGCGAAGGGAATGTTGTTATATAGCGCTTCAATGCCGATAGACTGCTGTTTTACTGTGGATTTCCACAGTGTATGTACTTGTATAACATATTGCTATCCCTGTTTCTCTTTACAGAAAAACAGAGATATCAATATGATTTAATACAATCTGGCTGTGGAAGAACACATTTATGCTAGATTTACAGGACGGCAGCAGTGAGTGCAGTACTGTGCATTCAATAGTTGTACTGTCCTACCTCTCTGCTGTCCTCGTGTGAAATTTGGTTTGCCACCACCGCTCCTTGTTGACAATTTAATGTGTGTAACAAAATGTCAATTCTATTTATAATGACCTAGTGCCTAAGTGTGTGGCAGATTGTAATTGAATATTACAACGACGTCGTGTTTTCTTTCGGACTGATAGCAGACATTAGATAGTAGCCATAAAATTACGGAGTTATTGACATTCTGTGTGCGTATGGGCATTTGTGACTGCCTTTTTACAACACGTAAAATATTTGTTATTTTTAATACATACCAAAGATGCCATGACGTTTAATGTAATTTATTTATTTATAGTTGTAATTACGATTAGTGACTACGAATGTTTTTTTTTTAATAAATTTTACTGCCAATTCGTATAAAAATGAACGCACATATTGGTTTGTTCAATATTAATTTGATAAGTCGCTTAAGTACGGCCAGAGTTATTGCTGACTAACATTAAAGAGGTTGAAAAAAATATGATAATATGGGCGTAGCCAGGGGAGGCAATAATTTCCCCACTAAAGAGGTTAAATATATAAAATAGATTTTAAAACTATGTCTAGATCCTGGCGATGTCTATATATCGTATTATTTTCAAGGCCTGTAATGACGTAGGTACAGAACACTTACAAACATACGTAAGAAGCTAGTTTATATATATGTAAATAGCGAGTTCTGTATAATGATACTTTTCGTCGAGTAATTAGATATAAGCATTAGTGATTAAGCGCGAAAAGTTTTTTGAAGATGGATTGTTAAGAATTGTTTTTTTGTATTGATTAAAAAAATTATAATACTGAAGGAAATGTACAATAACCATTTCTACGTTTAAATCAATGAACCATCTTTTTTATACTCGTAAAGTAATCATAACAATGCCTAGATTTCGTGTATAAGCGTAAAATATTAATTTATGAAATATTGAAAACTATAATAGAAAAGTATTGAACTGTAGATTATATAGGCAGCTTCATTTTGTTTTGAAACTCGAAGCCTTAGTGTTAGAAATTGAAGACTTTTATTAAATATAAAAAAAAATACAAATATAGCATTTTAATGAGTAACTTTTAACGTACGGCGTTTTAAAGCGCTTTTAAAACGTTATTCAGTAACTTTCACTAACATATGTTTTTATATAGTTTTCATTTTAAACCATGTAAGAATTTCCACCATTGTTAAAGATCGAAACTATAATTTACTTGCTTTAACCATTGTAATAATAATTAATTTAATAAAGCTTAATATTAATTTAAGAAATAATTAAAATTAATATTTGCTTGTAATCATCTTATTTCTGGAAGGGGCAAGAAGTTAAAAGCATTTAGTGCAATATTTTTCTACTTTTAAACTTTAATTTTCATTTAATTACATCACACCTGAGTTTAAGCGTTTTTTAATGGATTCAAATGTTCATTAAAACAACGAATGCCCAATCATTATGTTTAATTTTTCTGTAATGAAAATAAATTACAAATTAAGACAGATTTAAAGGTCGGCGATTAACAGTACTAGAGTTTTCAACTTGAAGTGCCTAAGTACAGTCGTGGCAAAAACTTCTAACACCTAAAAGGTTTGAAATATGTCTTGATAAAGGAAAGAATTTTTTGCCCTGACTGTACACACATAGTGAACATCTTACGCTTTATACATATAGATTTTTAGTACATCAAAACTTATTAACATAATGGTCTAATTGGAATACAATATTAAAAGCAAACTGTAATAAAGTATTAACATTTACAAGATATCATTTTCATATTGAATAATACATAAAAACAATTAAAAAATGCGTACAAAAAACATTGCAATATTTTTTGTAATAGTTTTAACAGCATAAAAAAACATTAAAATCGTTAATCACATTTTAATGATAATAAATCATTATATAACAATAAAATCACTATTTAATAATGAACTATCAGTCATTGGAATCATTCGTGTGGGTGCTTTTTAAATAAACAATCCCATAATATTTAACTGGCAAATATGATCGAAATGTATACAATAAAACAAAGAATGTTATCTTCTCAATTGGTTCAGTTTCATTTGCATATACATCCATACAAAAAAACGCGGTATAAAGTTAAACTTAGGAATAAACTTAGTAAAAGCAAAATTCGTACTAATATTTGCTTATACTCAATTTATTCCTAAATTTAGCCTATAGCACGTTTATTTGTAAGGCTGTAACTCTTATTTTTCATAACACATAAGTTACCTTGTCATCAACATAGACTATCTCTACCTTAATAATTAATATCTTTCGTTAATAAGACCGCATTGGTTTGCTTTTTAGACACTCCATAGGGTTAAGTAGGAGTTTTATAAAATATTAATTAATAATGCAAATGCAGTGATAGAAATGTTACACCGTACTCGCTGCCCGTATTTATAGAGTGCAATTTTTTATAACTAGAAACAAATAGATTGTTGAACGATTAAAGTGAAATGTCTAATGCTGTTACACATTTCACTTTATTGTGGCAAATGTTATGATCATTTTCTCATTAAAATAATAATATATGCTAAAAATATTTTAGCAAAGGATAAAATGTATTCCTTTTCTTTAGTAAATAAAATATTGAAATTTGGATGTGTTTTTATTACTATCGTTTAAATAGCAGATAAATAGAGGATTTGCAAAGATGCTGTCCTGCATAATTGAATCTCCGCGGGTCATTGTTAGTCAGAAATAAAAACATTATAAAGTCCTGCAAGTGACTAAAGAGATTTTTGGACATAATAATTATATTTCCTTTTGTTATTTGTAAGTCTTCAACTCATATCTTGGGTTCTTTATCTTCCAAAAACTGTACAGACCTAATATTTTGTCCTAATAACTTAATTTTTTCTTGGTTTCCGGTTTATCTTCTTTTTGGTGTAGCCACAAAAAACCTGTGGAAAGTTAACGAAGGATCCCTCTTCGAAGTTATGCCGCAATTAGCACAAGAGCTTTCTTTTCTCTCTGCCACTATGTAACAAAGATATTATGCTAAAGGAATACATGACGCAAAAATCAGAGCGAAACAGCTTGTTACATATTAATTTGGATTCTCAAAAATAAACAATAGGAAGCAGCTACTTGCTGCTTGCTTAATCTGCATCTTTATGGGGGATCAATATTTTCCAAATAATTCCTGAAATTACTCAGAAGTCTAGTTTTAATAAAAATTTCCTATTTTTATTGCAATGAACCTGTAAGTCAAACGTTTTAGTCCCAACAAGGAGAATGTATAGAAGCAGCCACAAAAGATGCCACATGTCTCAAAAGTTAGCTCAAAATAACAAGAATCCAGAGCAAACACACACCCATAGCAAGAATAGTAAACTGCAAAAAAAGTTGTCATCTGTCACTGTCATTGATTGCAATCATAATATAGGTTATGTTATGTTTAGCTTAGTTGAAATAAAAATAGCAAAAAGAGTGAAATAGGGTTTGTAAAATAGTTTTTATTTTTATAACAAAAAATACCGTGTCTCAATAACGATGGACAGCAATTTTAAAAATAGTTTCACGTTTAATTTCAAAGAAATTATAATAGACGAAATAGCTTTGGAAGGACTAGAAGGAATTGGCATCAGATTCTTATGGAAACGGGTAGAAAATAAAATTTCATCACCAGTTACCGATAAGATGAAAATAAGATTTTGGAAATTCATCGTAAAATTTAATAATGTTACATTTTATCAAAATCCAGAACCTATGCCAAATATAGAGATTTTGGATCGGTTTTCGATAGTACACGAAGAAACAGGACAACTTCTCGATCCTGTAAGTTTTAACTTTTTTTTTAATAAAGGCTATTCTTCTATGTGCTGTAATATCTATTAATGTCTGATTTAAGGATTTACTATGGTGGAAGTTAAAAATCTTTAACCAGTGTCTTCAATAAAATCCATTAGGTGCTGTAGGAATTTCCATGCATATTTATTTGACCCCAAAAACTATACAACACTTTTCTTGCCAGTGCCAATGATCATCAATATCTGGTTATCATATTAATAAAAAAATCAAAGTGTTATTATCAAAAAAAGAACCTTTTATAAATTGATCTTTAATAAGTTTCAGTTATTTGGAATTCATTTCATTTTAGTTCCTTGTTGGCATATGTGAATACTAAAGGAACCTTCATCACAAGCAATTTTCAGGTTGATTACTTAGATGGTCCATATAACTATGCTCCAGTGGGTAACAATGGCTCATCAGTACACTATAATCAAAGAATAGTTATTGAGAAAGAGGAGCTACAAGGACTGTCATATAATGATGTGATTACAAAATATGGAGATCACCTAACAATTGTTGCTTCAAAGGAAGAAAGATGGAAAGCTCTTGCTGGTCATGTACCTATTTCTTATTTGTCACAACTTACTACAGCACATTATTGTGTGTTGGAAATTGTTGGTAAAGCTAGAGACAATGTAAGTATTAGTAAATTTACTTATCTGAATGATATTTAATTATTTATTTATACTGATATTGTAAAGAGAAAAGGTGTGTATTTTTGTATGTATTGAAATAACTCAAAAACTATTGGGCCGTCTTCAAAAATTCTAGGCTATCCTTTTTATTACTTTTTAATTACATACGAAATCACAAGAAATGGCTATTTTAAATTCTGCTAGCTTCATTATTTTCAATTCTGTGTCAAACTTTCAAAGAATCTGTGCAACAAATTTCAGTAAGATCGGGTGTATCGTTCTGGAGATACATAGTTACAAACATCCATCCATTTATTTTATAGTAATGAGTAGGATTTTTAAAATTTTAATTTATTTCAGGGACAAATGACTGTCGGTAATACAAATTTGACAAAGATAATGAAAGATCCAAAACATCTATTTTATATAAGAAAACATTTACAAGATATGGGCCTTGTGAGAACACAATGTCATCCACAGTTTGTGCAAGGCAGGGGTATGAAAAGTATTTTACTCAGACTGAAAAGATTTCATAAACCGATACTCCTTTCAACACCAAAAGTTGGAAAACTACATAACATCATAGAATATTTAAAAAAGAAACCTGATCACTCTGAAAAAGTTGATTTATTGATTAAAACAGGATATTTAAATCATAAGCAAAGCAAAAGACTACAAAAGACACTTAATGTATTCCGTTTTGTAAGTATTATTGTGGGTCTCTTGTTAAAACGCTTGTATTTGGAATATCGCTATCTCTTTCATTTTTATTGAAAGTAATAGAGATCATAAAAGTATACAATGTTTCTAATGTAGGCAATTCATGATTAGCATTTCATTACCAACCAGCACTGGGCCAGTGTGGTTGACTATGGCCAAGTTACCCATTATTAGGGTAGGCTCCGAGCCCCTCGGCGGGGTATATATGGTAGACATGACCTGCTGATAACAATATTATAAACACAACCTTTTAGTAAAAAAAATTAAAAACATCAACCTGAATTTTAAAACTATGAATATTTACTAACAATAGTAATATTTTATTTAGGAAGAGAGACAAATAAAAGTCGATGAAATATCAAATAATAGAAGACAGAAGGTGTTTGTTAAAAAAAAGTACATTAGTTTAGAGATGTCTAGTGAGGAATCGGATAATTCTGAAGATGAGACCCCTACTGCTCCTTTAGAATGCCAATACAAAGTGGGGATCAGTTTACTAAGACAGGCGTATGAAAGATTCTTAGATGCAGGTCTAAAAGGGTTAACACAAATTCAACTTGCTCAAATATTGGGAGTTGAGTTTTACACTAGTAGAACTATTTGCAGAACATTAAAATCAAAGAATATTGTTAAGGAATTTTTAGAAGACAAAGGTAGACAGAGGACAGCAAGGTATGTAGACATTTTTCAACAAATTTTGTTTTTAATTACACTTGTTTAATAATTGTATCTGACTTGGGATCTACGACAAGACTTTTTGTTGGATCTAAAATAATGCTAATGTTATAAAGAGGGAAGATTTGTATTTTTGTATATATTGAAATAACTCAAAAACCACTGGGCCGGATACAAAAATTCTTACACAATGGTGTTTTTAATGAAAAGACTAATGTTATCAGTGAGTAACATAGACAATATATTTATTATTTCTCGCGGGCGAAGTCATGAGCAACAGCTAGTAAACTACATGATAATTAATATTTGTTGTTTCTATTAAATGTTATTGACTCATAAATTTTAATATTAAGAATTAAATCATTGTTCTGTACATTTTTAGATACATCGCAGTAGCTGCTACAACTGAAATTGATAACATATATGAGGAGGAGAAGAAGAAATTTTTACATTTCATGAACACATCAAACATTGAAGATATAAAAGAAGAAGTACCTGCGAAAAAAATGAGAGTTGAAGAAGATGAACCTCATGAAAATGTTGAAGCATCAGATAATGTAGACACTGATATAACTGAAGTGAAGGTAATCGAAGGACTAGAAAATATGATAAACGAATCATTGCTTAATTCTAAAAAGAATCCAACATTGAGACAGCTTAAATTTGCTAATGGATTACTAAAGGTCGTTCGAGAGAGACGTGCAATATCTGGATATCATACTTTGAGCACTCTAGTTTCTAAGGACATAGGTGAGCCACCTATGGATACAAAAGCTTTGAAATCATTCGTACAGAAGTTGGTCAAAGATGGACAAGTCAAAATGTACAAGATAAAATGGCCTGGTTTTCATCAAAAGTACACAACATTAGTTTGTGACCCTCTCATGAAAAGCAATGATCCTGTTATCATTGGAAAATATAAGGAAATCAGTATGAAGGCTCTTACAAGCCAAAAGTCGAAAGTTAAAAGAGCTTTAACAGAAGGTGTTACCCGACCTCTATCCCAATTCGCATACCCTAGATATATGAAAATGCAGAAATTACACGAACTCGTGATAAATGTTGTATACTTCAGTGATATTAAAAGTCAATTTCCCGAAGGATTTGCATGCGTTTTAAGTGTTGTACCTCATATGACAATCGGTTTCGCTGTCGGCAATATAAGTAACGTCGCTATATCTGACATAGCTCATATGAGAATAAGCGACAATTTACTCGATATTAAGCTTAAAGACGCGCCATCTGACTTATACGAAAGACTGTTGCAGTCAAAGAGCTTGCAAAACTCGATAAGATCCAATTTAAAGGCACTCGCCATGATGGGTCTTATTCAGCTAATCTCAGAAGCAGTACCTCTGCCCTCCACTGATTACGAAGGCAACCTTCTAAGTTATTTGTTCTATGTCAACCGTCGAGCAAAAATATTAGACACGTCAGGTATTTGGCCAAAACCGAACACAGATTTAGGAAAGCTAGAGAAATCGTACCATTTCAAAACATTTGAAGATGTATCAACTTATTGGAATGATGTTTATAATATTAGTACTAGTACGAATGTCGAAATAGTTATTAAACGGGATAGGAAGAAGATAAAACCGCCAGTAAGGAAAGCAGAGGATGTACAGTTGTATGATAATGGGGAGCGTTACGGCGACGGGCTGGGACCGTGCGCCTTCGACTCCAGTTTCTTTATGGACATACCTCGATTATGGCGTACATTTTACATCCGCGCCGCTAAAATGACTCAACCACCGTTACGAAGGAAGAAGAAGGGTAAAAAAATCAAAATCGAAACAGTTAAGAAACCCAAGATGAGACCGGTGATTAAGAAAAAGCCTTTAAAAGCCGTGATAAATGAACTCACAATAAATAGACGTAAAAGGAGGCAGCCGGATTCTTTGATAAAATGGTCCAAATGGGAGGACAAAATAATAATGCTTTGCAAAGCGGCTATAACTATAATGAGTCCCACTTCTCATCCGGATTGCCTCAGAGTTAGAAATGCAGTAGCAAAAGAGATATTATACATGGCGGATGACAAGAAGACTGCAACCGCTTGTCATAGAAGAGCGGCAGCTATAGAATGTAATTCAATTCTAATGCACGAAAAAGAGTGTATATTGAACGAAGTAAGACGACGACCAGATCTGATTCAGAAGTACGAAGGATTGTTAAAAAGGTTGCGAATTCGTTATTCAGCAAATCTAAGCAGATTGTTCAAGGAATGTAAAATACCAATGTTAGAACTTGTGCGGGCGATGTGCCTGATATCTAGAAGTAAATCGTTTACTCAGAGGGTACCTTGTGTAGCTGTAGATTTAGAAGATTTTAATAAAAAATTTGATATTACGTCATCATCATCATCATCTGCTGTTAAAACATTCAATATGTATAGAACCCCTGTCGATTGTGATCGTCTCCTTGCCTCTTTAAAAGAAGGAATTATTATGACCACAATGTTGTCGTTTGAGAATACGATAAATTCAGATGTCGCTTCAAAAGTTTACGCAATATTTAAAAAGCATCCTGAAGTTCTTTTGCGAACAGCGTTAGAGCAGCTTCGAAAAAGTGGAGCTATTTCGGCAAGAGATAAAATATTGAACAATCACTTGCATAGAGTTGAAATAGAAGACATCGTTCAATCTTCATACAAGATATCCGCGTTTTATCAACGAAGATGGATTTGCAGACTCAATTCTGACTTCATAGATATCTTGGGAGATAGTTTAGAGAAGCAAGTGCCCGTAGACGGCGTTAAAGGCTCGCCCGAAATAAATTGCATATTTTGTGAATTACTCGCATGTGATATTTTTGACCTAATTTCGCTCACAACTCCGGCTATATCGGGTTACTCTGGTTCTATAATGCAAGAGGAACAACTTAACGTTATTGATATAGAAAATAAATATTCTCTCAAGTCTGGATTGGTTGGTTGCAAATTAAAGTGTAATATAAAAGAGTTTTCTGATTTATATGAAGATATAGACATAGACGGATGTATGCAGGAGATTCAAAGGTAATTTTTTTTAGTAACATTAAGCAAATTAACTGTGAACAATGTTGACCAATGAGGTCTAAAATAAAACTGCGTTCGATTTCATCTATATAAAACATATTTGTTTTGTTGAATGTTACATTTTTTTTTCAGTTTTAATGTTCTGGATCATACAGATATCGTGGAACTATCAGAGGACGAAATAGTAGACCATTTAGAGCAGATTGGTGATAAAGGATGTACATTTCAGGAATTAAAAGTATGTTTTTTTAAGTTAAACAATTAAATTATACTTTACTTAGAATTTCTGTGTTTGGTGACTTTAAAAATTAGAAGTTTAAAAATAAACAGAGGAAAAATAAACCTTACAAAAATAAATGTATCTGACAACACTAGCTTAGGGTAGGCTCCGAGCCCCTCAGTAGGGACATATAGTGAGCTGGTGTTGATGACAACACTGATTTTACCCTTGTGTGTTTTTTTTGGTAAAATGTAGTTTCACAAATATTAGCCAATGTTTTTAATTTTTATGCTTCATTACTTTTGTTGCGTTTTACGATGACGTAAACTTTGTATTATTCCATTTATATTTGTTTCAGGCACATTTCTCTTACGATACAAAAACCCTTTGTAAAAAACTTAATGATTTGGAGATGAAGAAAATAATAACGCGAGTAGGATATTATGAAAATAAAATCATATTGACTGAACATTTTAAATCCTGGGCGTTAACTGTTGAAGTGGATAAAAGTTTCATACCAGTTCCGTGGCTGTCGTTGGATTATGAAGTACGGTTTGATATATTGTTTAAGTGGGCCGGAGTAATTGTCAACAAAGTCTTTGAATCCCCTGGCTGTTCTGTATCCGTTTTGTCGGACAGCTGTGAAGTTCTATCATACAGAGCAGTCCAAGATATTTGTATGTTCCTCAAAAAATGTGAATGTGTAATACTCCATTGTGTAGAAATACCAGAACCGGCCTTATTTTCAGATAACCTACCACCTAACGAATTAATGGAATTTAACCGTTGGGATACACCAGACAATATTGTTGTATTTCCAACTAAAAATATTCTGACTAAATATGCTTATGTAAGAAAAAATATACTGGAAAAATGGCTTTAAATTCATTTTTTTTTCTTTAAAAAAATGTTTTATGTCGTTTCATTTACCTTCCTGAATTCACATTTATGTTAATTGTTGTCAAACATATAAATAGCTTTCATTTAGAAAAAAATAAAAACAAATTTATTTTAAAAGATGTAACCAAGGACTACAGTAGAAATTTAAAATTTACACATGGCAACATTGATTCACAGTGATAAAGCGCTCCACAGACGATCAAACAATTTGTTAATGTCTTTGACAAATTATTTCATTATATATGACTTCGCTTGTCAATATTTATTTGAGATGTTTGATGAATTGGAGCCCAAGACCAGTTTATTACAACCTCAATTATTTCATCAAGGTTTGTCAGATTTTCTCTAATAAATTAAACATTTTTAGTGGTGGCAATGTCTGGTGTGCGATGTGAACTTTGAACGATTGAATGATTGAAGTTAGTGATGTGAAGTAGGGCAATCCAGAATTCGCCATTTTTACTTTTCAGTGAAAGGAGATTTTATAATTGTCAGGCTGGAGGACGACGATTTTTTTCTGAAAAGTGTGTCATTGTATTTAATTTCCTGTAGCAAGGACTATTATTTGAGAAAGTCTTAGTTTAATAGTGTGGTTTTATTTATTACTAACGTTTGTATGTAGTGCTACTTCCCCATCGTAAGATTTGTTCTTTGGTGTGTCGCTTGAGCTAATTCAATGGCTATGATATCGAAATTTTAATCTAACGAGTCGCTTTAGTATTCTCCGTGTGAGATAATAACGAGAAAGCGAGGCGACGCCGTTAGAAATGAGCAGGCCTCAAGGCGGTCGAATTCAAGTCCCAGATGACCTTAGAGAAATTTTACTGGAGTTCACAATAAGTTATCTGCTGGAGCAGCCAGGGGACGTGATTAACTACGCCGTCGAGTTCTTCACAAGGTTACAGAACAACCGGACCACTACTATAGTGAGGGGCCCATCCGCCGGCACGCCCGATGAATCCATAATATCTGACGAAGAAGGTACTCATTTACTAATTTCCTAACACAATCACAGACTCGAGATTATTATCGAAACAATTTTGAGGTGGGTTTTTGTAGAATTGCAATGCAATGGCTATAGCATCAACCATATCAATATAATAAAATTCTGAGCATCCCAATGCTTAGTGTTAATTCTTTTCATTTATTTGTAAATTTTGTTTTTATTGGCCATCATTGTCTAGAAATGTAAATAAGTTTTTAATATTATTTTATTAACTTTGTGGTACAAGGTTTCATTAATGTTATATTATTTTGCAATTTAGTGCTTTATCACGAAAAATGTATGTGTTTGTTTTAATTATAATGGAGACTATATCATCTATCATGATATTGTGATAAATATAAATTAATCATATTACCCCAGTAATTTAGCAAATTAAAATTAGCAAATCAAAAAAATGTCTCAAATGAGTTATTTCTACAAAAATAGTTAATTGAAAAATAATGTATTTGCCAGATAGCTTTAAATTATTATTCAAGAATGTTTTTACTAAAGGTAGATATTTACAAATACTTCTAAGTGCTCAGTCCCAGTTTAAAATTTGGCTATATGCCACTAATGTCCCATTCAATCATATAAGCTAATATTTAATAGAACTGGAAAGTAGTTAGCTTGTGCCAACTGTAGAAAATACCAATTAAATGTTCCATACATTTACAGTATAACTTGCATTTCAAGAGTTCTGTTACCAAGCGCTAATAAATTTAGAAGCTGTGTCTTAAAAGTTAATTACTAAAATAAAATAAGTGTTACAAGTCTTATAAGACTCTCTAAAGAAATGTAATTCTTTTTATCAAATAGTTGATTTCAAATTATTTAATTAACTGGCCCAATAAAGTATCAAACCCATTGGCAAACTCCAGGTGACTAATTTATTTGAATAGTAAATTTCAAAACACTCCACTCTCTTAAGGATGAAGATTTTTGTTTTCTTGTTTTAATTGCTAAGAGACATTAAATATTTAACAATTTTATCTTTTGAAGCATCAACAACAGATAATAGTTACATTTAATACTAATAATGCTACTAGAAATGATTTTTTATTGTTTATAATTCCATTTGCCTGTGTTTTCAATATTGAGTGAAGTTATGTATTGGTAGGTTACAAACTGTTTGTGCATTGCCTAACTGTTTGGTGTGGGAAGGCAAACACATAACTTTTGTTTTAAAATTCATGTTGACAATATTACAAGAACTTGTACACTTTACTATATCATTTGTCAATTAAAGTAGGCAACATCTGCAATTAGAAATCTAGTCTCGTAGCTTTGCTATTTCAGTGAATCCAGATGGCAATTTGTGCATTTGCCACCACAATGTAAAAATTATTGTCTTGACCTACAAATCAAATAGACAGGATTTGATAAAAAAAAGCTATACATCTTAGTGTCCATGGTATAATAATATATGAAGCCACAACCAAATATGTCTTTTTTTAAAACTTTTTTTAATACTGATGTTTTGTTAAATTTCTTTACTTTCATTTTTATCATCTAAATAAGAACCAATATTGTTATATTATTATAAATATGATATTATTTAATATACTATTGAGTTATTTTAAATTTCGTTTTACATAAATTTAGTTACAGTAAGCTATCTATTTATATAAACAGCTGCTAACTAGACCTTGAGGCATATTTACATAAGACATTTATGTTTATTGTTACTGTTTAGTATAATAATGTAACTATATGCCTATTGTTATCATTTATGAAGTCTACAAAGCAATATTTAGACAAATCAGTTTACATATCTATCATTTTTCAAATTTAATGTGAAATTATTGTTTACTTGAAACATAAAAGTCAAAATTTATGGTAATAATTAGGTTATTTTTTATAATTCAGGTGAATATTTTCACAAGATTAAACTGTTAATACATTTTGTGGAAGAAATCATAAAATAGTTCTTATTAGTATGGTCAATAATAGATATAGATTAATTCAGTGATACTAGTTTGTATGAAGATTAATCATGGAGTCTTTTATGGTCTTCTCAATTGAAAGTGGGCTGTTAGGTTAAGTGTTGACGTCCATTGTCATAGAGTATCAAATTCTGTTAACAGAGCCGCCAGTGGCGCGCTTCAACAACCGTCGCAAGTCGGTGTTCGCGGAGACGTATGATCCTGAAGAAGATGACTCCGATGAGGGCGCGCCGGCCGTCTTCCCCAAGTCTGATGCTCAGCGTGCCCGACTCGCTGAAGCTGTGCGCGGTATTCTGCTCTTCCGTTCGCTCGACGCGCAGCAGATGCAACAGGTAATCTTAAGACCCGACTGATGCTATAAGGCGGGTAAATTTTGCAATAAGATTTTCTCTGTGTATGTACAGTCCCCCGAGAGTGTATAGTACATGCAAACTGGCCATGTTCCAGGTGTAAAGCTACTATCGTTTGAACATTTTGTAAATTCGAAACGAGATGCAGGAGGAATAAAAATCAATATAACAATACAAAAGTCCACTAGTTCTTTTTCTCTTTAGTTTCTTTTTATTATTATCTCTTCGTTTACACTACTCACTGCTATCTAATTAGATCTTTATAGGTAGAGGCGGAGTTTGTGTTGCAATGAGCGAGGCATTTTTTTTTTCAAATTGGAACACCGTGAAATTCCGCCACTGTACATTGCGACCTGTTTTAAAGTTAGGAATGGTCTTTTTGAAGTATCTTTGAATTCGTTCTTTTGAATTAGAAACAATTCATCGTGTTTCTTGACAAAACTAACTGTTGCATATTACGAAATGTGCAATTGCATATAAGGAATATAATGATTTATGGTAGTTCATATAAATTATTATTTTCTATTCTGTCATGGCCCTTTTGTAAATGTTTTGTTAAGGATATTTCGTAGTAGTGTACATTTGTTATTCCTATCGTCTATTTTTTGCAATAGATTGTGTATCATTGAAACATTTTCTATCAACTTGTGTAAGACTCAGTCCGCGCCATTTACTAGGCGAGGCACGTCCCCTTACGTTATAACTTTCGCATGTTGCTCAATGTTTTATGCATAATTAGTAAACTGAGGGTCCGTAACAACACTTACCTTTTTATTTTACTATTCAAGAAGGGAATTTAAAATTACGTTAACATTTATTGGGACTGTGTAATAAAAAACAAACGCAATTATGCATTGTATACTTCCATGCATTTATTTATCTATACACAGACGTTTTATAACCAAATTAGATTTGACTTCCTGTGCACCATTGATTACAGTTATCTGACTTCTATGCCCAGCACACAATCAATACATTGAAGTAATGTCATGTGTGTTTGTTTGTGAGATACTCAGCTAATCAAATTAAAGTTCTAACTTATAATAGAATGTACGTTGACCCAGTAAACTTAGTTTCTAACTTATACGCTTGGTTGAAACTATTATTATAAACAGAATTATTTTCTTCGTAACTGTACTTTTTACCTTACCCAAGTAACAAGTTTCGAATTTATACTAGTTTCATTCAAAATGAATTCAATATCTGCAATGACATGTTAGTACTTGAGGTCGTTTTGTGAATAAATGAATTTGTAATACGTTGAGGAAAGAGCCGACATATGGTGACATAGTTCCAGTTTTACATATAATATGTTAATACAGACTAAACTAACTCTATATTATTTGTACTCTATTGTGATGTTGGCTCTTTGTTGAGCTAAAATAATAATAATAATTTATTTATTGTGCCTTTTGTATAAATTTCATGCAAGTCTTGGCTCCTGTAGTAGATTGCCCCGGTCACAGGAGCCAATTCCTCTGAATTCTCTCTAAATCTGTATTACATTTACTCTGAATCCCCCAGACAGATGACGTTATGCATCGCAGTTTACTGCGATCAACAAAAAAGACCGGGAGATTATTTTGATTGTTCTCGTACGTTTTACCGAAAAACATTCTCACGATATGCGTTCCGATGACCTCATAAGAGGCGCATATGTTTCAACGTCTTACAAATTTTACAAAAATCACAGTGAAAAACAGTGCAAAAAAACACAACCGCTTTAACAAATCGGTGTAAACAGAACGTCAATCAAGAGTCTTGAAATTGATGTGGTTAATTAATTTTAAGAGTAGACGTCAGCAGTCATCGTTCATTATTTACGTGGAGAACGGATTCTTTGGAATTTGTTCTCTTGTTGCATCGAAAAATGGCTTTTCACTGTGATACTTGTACGACATAATTTTGAGCATCCTTTTCTTACTCTAAGAAAAGAGGAGGAGAGACAATACATGTACGGAATTTTATCAAAGTAGCTATTTTAGCAAGAGTTTGTCAAGAAGACTGGACCTAAAACCTTGCAATCATGATGCATTTGTGTGGTTTATAATGAAATTTTACGTGTAGGATTTCTAAATGTTTGTGTGTGTAGGTGCTGGACGCAATGTTCGAGAAGCGCTCGGAGCCAGGCGAGTACGTGATCCGGCAGGGAGACGACGGCGACAACTTCTACGTCATCGAGAACGGCGTCTTTGATGTGCTCGTCAACGGAGATGACGGCATCGAGAAGGTAATGAAAATATACGGATCGTTAAATGGCCCTAACTTCGGGGTCGTTAAATGGTTACTAAGAGACCCTTAGTCAATTCTCGGAATAAATCTCTAAGATGGGATCACTTAGTGACGTTTGCCCTGTTAAAATTGTAAATAAAATGTCTTCTAGTAGGTTGAGAACGTGGACATGGTTTTAATATCTATAACTGATATTCGTTTCGCCATAGCTTATCTATACTTCTGTACTAATATTTTAAAGAGGAAAAAAATTGGACTTTTGTGTTTATGGAAATAACTCAAAAACTACTATGCCAGTCTAAAAAATCCCTACATCATTAAAAAGCTACGCCATCACTTAGTAACATAGGTTATATTTTTACTATTTTATTAAATCCACGCAATCGAAGTCACGAGCAACAGTTAGTAAACCAGTAAAATACCAAAACACATGACAGGATTATACGTTTATTTTATTACATATTTAATAAATAATATTTATGCCGTCCGACATATTTTTATGAAACGTTTACGCCAACATTCACAATATCCCCGGCATGTAGGCACAATAATAAACAATATGGCGCGGTAATGACCGTCTTGTCGAAAGATGAGCGCGCGCCAAAGGAATTCCACACGTTCTGTATAAACTACGTATGGCGTCGCCAAATTATGTCCACACTCGAGAACGTTTATTTCCTATCCATTTAGATGAAATATTTGACACTAAAACTGCAAATAGCTCGAAAATTAGCAATATACAAGGGAAATAAATTATATTACTTATAGTGACATTTTACTGTATTCAAACTTAGTGGGAATCAAATTTAATTCCTTGTATGTGGGAAAACTATGATTAAATTAATTTTGCATTCATATGAATTAATATTCCCGCTTTCAAAGAAATTAGACGGTTTTATTATACGTTTTGTAGCAGTTAAAATATTTTATTGGCACACAAACGTTTATTGTTTGTTTACCCATGACCTGATATTACAAGAAATAGGTTGGATATGTACGAATACGTATTTAGTCTGTTTATACGTTACTACATATCACAAGTTCGAGCATTTTACGTTTATAACACTAGTTACTTGACCTGACATTACAAAGAAGTCCAGTAAGCTGTTATTTCTGCAATAAGACCTACTAAGGAATATAAACATGAAATCTAAAAAGCGTCTACTAATAATAGATATTAATGCCTTTGCAATTCAACAAATAAATAGTCAAATAGGTTATTTAATTTCTATTTAAATTGTAACAAACTTAACGTTTTACAACTGATTAGTCGCATAATCAAGACTAGTTCATAGGATAATTTATTTATAATAATATATAAAATATAAAATATTTATAATAAAATATAAAATAATAAGTTCTTTGCGATAGTATCACATAGCGATCTAAATCTTAAACCCTATTTCCTCTAGTGCTTTGCAGTAAGTTAATTTTTAACCGACTTGCCAAAAGAAGGAGGTACTCAATTCTATTTATTCATTTTAACAAAATACATTCTGATATAAGTATGACACAACTTGGTGCCATTAAAAATAATCAGCCTTCCAAATAAACGCTTTATAAAGTTCAACTTAGGAATAAACTGAGTATAATCAAAATATGTACTAATATTTGCATATACTAGTTTATTCTTAAGTTTAACTTTATGATGCGTGTATTAAAACATTCAGTTTTTATTGGCATTGTACAGTTCAAATTACAATTATAGGTTCAAATACATAATGGGATTGTATATAGGTGGTGCACACGTACGAAGGTTCAGGGTCTTTCGGTGAGTTGGCGTTGATGTACAACATGCCGCGCGCCGCGTCCGTGCGCGCGCAGTCCGCCGGCGCGCTGTGGGCCATGGACCGCCACACCTTCCGCCGCATCCTGCTCAAGAGCGCCTTCAAGAAGCGCAAGCTCTACGAGGAACTGCTCGACAAGGTGCCGATGCTGAAGGCACTCCAGGTAATACTTCTTATTGTTCTTTGTTCTACTGATTGTTTGTTTGTGTTTTCAGCTGATTGATGGTTGTCAAATTTGTGTACACAATTTTACGCAATTTACACGGAATCATTCTATCTATACCATATATAATGATGACCTTGTTTTTTGGTATTGAGGACAAATTTTCAAAAGATACCCTGTCTTTTGGAGGAAGACTAAAACCTTTGGTGACCAGCCTCTAGTGCAATAGAGGGTTCCGGGATCTTTGTGGAACTTACCGGAACTCTCGATTCTACCACACAATACAGAACGTTGTTTATTGTTCCGCATGTCTGAATATGACAAAAATTGACCAAATACTTGTAGTATATTCAAGAAGCTAGTCTATTACCTTCTTAAAATGTTGCAAGCCATCTGTAGTTTCTGGTATAGTGGATTCCCATATGCATCGATCAACGTTCAGTCCCGCTGTTCGTTTGCCCTGTTCTCTTATAAAAAAAAACCAAAGTCGATTCCTATTACTATTCTCCCTAGTACTATTATATCTAAGTATGCTAGATATACGAGCTAACGACGATGCTATTCACTAGTCTATAACCTCGCCTTTTAATGTCAGCCCTTGAGTAAAGATATCTGAGCTCGTTTAAAAACATATCACTTTACAGCGCTTAAAACGTCGTCAAATTAACGAGCCGGTGTTAGTTACATGTTACAACGTCAAGTGTGAATCATACGCTCCGAGTTAAAATATAGTAGCGTGTGATGTGACCTAGGATTAATCACTTAACGTAAATGTATGACACAATCCACTAAGTATCAGCAAGTGCGAATGACTTCGCTACAGTTGTATGCATTCTAGTTAACACTTTCCATGCTACAATACATTAACGTGAAATTCGCCAGCAATAAAATTAAAGTGAACTTGTAAAAATCGACGGCAGTGAATGTGTTGAGTGTCTTGAATTTTCAATTGGTAACAGATCACAACGCGAAAGTTTAGATGGATGGGTGTTTGTTAGACTTTGTAGCCTAAACTGCTGAACGGATCTCGATAACATTTTGCATAGATATAGAACATAATCTGGAAGAACACATAAGCTACTTGCTCTTGTTTTTTAATACCACGCAGACGGATTCTTGGGCAAAAAGCTAGTATTCATATCTTCAGATATTATATTTATAATAGAAAATATTTAATATAAAAACAAAGAATAATATTTTCAATGCATAAATATGTCACAGAAGAGTTACCGAACCTTAGGTAAATAATCTCGTTAGAAAAATGTAGGTGTGTAAAGTAACTTACCCTGAACTCTATTTGAAATGTAACATAGTGTGAAGCTGTTACCTTGGTGAGACTAAGTCGTATTACATAAAAGTTTTTTAAGTGTAACGACAGTAAACGACAATCATGTAAAAAATAGGCCATGGAAAACGCGCCAAAAACAATATAGATGATGAATGAAATATTAAAATTTTATTGCTTTGGCATCTTCTGAATAACCTCACATATAGTAAAGTTTCACATAAGTAAATTATATTTTCATTGATTTCCAAATTTATATTTTTTTAAATTAAATATATGAAATGGAGATGGATTTATAAATTAATTCTTTCAAATATTAAAACAAAACTAATCGCATAGTACCGTAGTGGTTTGGTTCTCTAACTTTAATTAGCATTTAGTTTTTCAATCTCATTTGTTGGAAAAGTTTAATCTTTAGGTAATATTATACAGCAGCTCTTGGAATTGTGAATAGTCCACACTTCACTGTTTTTTACTTTTTTCTTTATTTCATACTATTTGTTTTTGACCTACTAACATATACACTTTGAAATTAGATGTTTTGGACTAAGTTGAATGGAACTTAGGTTTTTTATTGACAAAATGTATCAATCATCATTTTTTCAAAGGATGACCGATGTTTTATGCGGTTTTTTAAAGTATTGCTTGCGACTTTATCCGAGTGAAATAAAGAGAATAATAATAAATATAACATAAATGTAACTTACAGACAAATTATCTTCTAACTATACCATAGTTATAACATACAAGGAACTCTGTCGCTTTTTCATATAAAATCAGTGTATACGGGGGCTCTCATAATATACGTCTAAAAGTCTAAATGGTATGACGAAGTTTTAACAATGTTCCCGTTCCTTACTTTCAAGTATAAGTGAGTAAATTTTTTTCCAAGGGCTCGTGTTGAAGCGGAACTTAAGTCTCTTGTAAAAAGCTGAGACGTACTCGACTCGAATTGTTACATTTAATAGGATCATTCTCGCAAACAAAGTGGAACAACTTTAAACCGCTTTGTTCCGTTGAAGAGATTATAAAAAAAAACAACAGCTGCTTCCCTTCGCGCTTTGTTGAAAGGAATAGTCATTGTAAGCGGTTTTCAAGCTGGCGTACTATGAATACAGTATTTGCTTTATCACGGAGAAAAATATGTTTTGATCGTAAAATGAGAGTGGGTTTGTGTTGATTTAGAAATATTGCACAAATATTTTTCAACCTTGAATAACCTTAACATATGTTAAGTAATAAAAAATACTAATTCTATCAATCTAACAATCTTTTTACTTGGACTTGGTTAGCTGAATTCAATATATAGCCATAACGTCCAATTTGCCAGATGTCAGAGGTCAGATTTCCCGCAGCGTCAATTCAGTTAAAGCCCTTGGTACATTTCAATGTCACTTATCCTATTTGTTAACATATAAGGTACCTATGTAATGTACTTAAATATGACGTATTTTATACTATTAAATAAAAAAAAACGACGTAAACGGCAGTTGCTTTTAACAATAATTTAATTTAAACGTCCAATAAGTATTATTAGAAAACTAGCAGTGCCCGTGCGACTTCATCCGCATGAGATTATGAAAATTTTATTTTATTGTTTACATCTGTCAATTTATCAATTACAAATGTCAAAATGACATGACATGATGACAACCTTGCTTCCTTGGATGATGGCAGCAACTTATGGTCTCTTTCCCACATTAGGGTATTTATCTAAAATATTTACCCCCTAAGTTTAGTTTAGTTAAGTTTAATGGTGTTAAAATATATAGCCTAAAGCGTGACGCAAGTGTAGGGCTTTTTAATAAAAAAAAATCAAAAATATGCTGTAATTGCTGACATCTTAGGCAACAAAGAAATGTGTGTTTACGCTTTATTATAATAGTATAGATGAGAAAACTATTTATAATCTAAATACATATAAAAATAAACATTTGATTAAATAATGAGCTATATAAAATCTGCTTCTTAAATTGTGTTATTTCATTAAATATAAATAGCGTAAAGATCTTATCGAATAAATTATACACGCCTTTTATACGGTTACGTAAGAAGTCAGGGCTGACACCCTCCGGCGTATTTACATTACTAATTTTAATATTATATTACTAAAGTTTACGCAAAGGCGGTTAATCCGCAATTTCCCTTTCCAAGAAATAGAAAACAAGATGGGACTAATATAGACAAGTAAATATGATCGATCGTTATAGTTTGAAAGACTTCTGGCGACTAAAAAGTTTTATTTATTGTGACCTCTTTATTGTCAGATCCGTCGCTTATTTGCGACTATTGATACCCTAAGAGTGTCACTTAGGGACTAATTAAGGACACTGTGTTACGTTAAGTTTTGTGAGAGAAATGAGCAAAAAAATCACAAGCATTACGTATAAATGGTGTTATTGGGTGAGATATTTATTTATAATACCAATATAAAGACTTTGTACTCAATGTAAAGAATTATGTTAGGGTCATAGAGCAGTCTGTAATTGCTATTTCAGTAAAGCAATGAGCTGTCATTCTAGAATAATGAAGTAACAAACGAAGGTCGAAGCTGTTCACTTGCTTATGATGGATTTGAAGTGAGCACTGCCCTACTCGTTGCTGCTCAGTGTGACCTGCCTTTTATGAACTTTGATCCAATTTGCTACGAGCTATAGGTCAAGGTTGACATGATACTGAGTACCAATTATCATGGAGATTTCCTTTTTTTAATACTAGTGCTCGAGATTTCTTTTTATTAAATATCTTCTTTTTTAATGAATCATTAGTATAGAATCTATACTAATATTATAGTGGAAAGATTCATATTTTTGGATTTTTTTTATTTTTTTACATATATTGAAATAACTCAAAAACTACTGGGCCGATTTGAAAAGTTCTTTTACCGTTAGAAAGGTAATTTATCGGTGAATAACAAAGGATATATTTCACGCGGACGAAGTCGCCTGCCACAGCTAGTTATTTATATAGTTAATAACCAGTTGCCGGTCTAAAGGTCGTTTCAAATTCTATGATCTTAGTTTGTCTTATATGACACGTGTAGGGGCGAGATGCTGTTCTGTTTACTTGTACAAGCTGATTGATGTTAACTGTTGTTTAAACTCGCCTCAGCAATATTCTCGCTACACTGAACAGACGGGCTCGACCGTGTGAGCGACGTAACAAGTTCCGTACTATGTCTACGTAAGTTGTCCGATGTTATAATTAGATGTACCATTATTTTTGTTATGTCTTTCCGACCTTTGAGTGTTCTTTAAACGATTGTAAATTTGCATAACCGAAGATTAATAAGTTATTTTAAGCAACATTAGCACGACCGCCCTTGCGTTATTCTAAAAAATTCTAATACTTTCAGACTACACTTTCAAGACGTTGAAGTACTTTTCAAATTATGATCATAATCAACGATCAACGTACAATTTTGATCAAGTGTTCAAGCGATTCTAATCGATTGTACGAAGTTATCGATCTAGATCGGATCCAAATATCGATATGACGTAGGATATTATCGGAATATCAATCTATCTGTGGGCTAACGTAAACTCAGCACGTAATCCCGTGACGTCACGCACAGAGATTTATTGAACGATATTCTTGACTGTATCTCTGTGTCGATTATGTAATCTTTATATAATTTGTGTTATACATAATTAGTAACTCCAGAGTGGCCTTGACATAAATATGAGCTTGTGGTGTTTGGATTATTTTGTATTGACAATTCCACAAGTTATTTGAAATGTTAAATTAAAAAGAAGTAACCTGTGTGTCCTCTAACAAACATCCATCCATCTTTCCCATTTATAATAATAGTATGCTTATAAAATTAGGCTTCAAGTGGTGAGGAATTAAATCAAGTATTTCTTAATCTAATCTGTGTAAAATGTGCACCGATATAAAACGATCAAGCGATTAAAAGATAATAATCTATTCTCATACAACACGTTAAAATTGTAAAGTTTATTACTTGCTAATCGCTAAACAAACACAATTAAATTATAGGCGTCCATAATTATGCTTTAATATTATAAATGCAAAAATGTGGATGGATCAATTTTTGTTACTGCGCATCTCCTAAACTGCCGGTTCACGATACCTTTTGGACGTTGTGGACAATAGATATTGTAACATAAAGATAGGTATTTGAGAGTAATATATTGATACCACTAAAAAATATAAAATTAAAAAAACTGCTGAGTCTCGCTTTCCCTACAAAAATGTGTTAGATTTCGTGTAAAACCTAGTCATGTTCGTTAGTGTCTATTATAAAACCTTGGCAATTACACGGCGCCATCGTTGTTGAAGAACACTACTTGCTATTAATTTCATTTTTATCTAAACCTAAGCAAAGCTCTCGAGAATGACGTATTTTAATTTGAAAATTTTACTTTCGAACAAAAATTCGTGGAAGGTAACATCAATCTTTTTTATCCATATAATCTTCATTTAATTACCTAGCTTTCTGTTACAATAAATGCCGCCGATTTGTTATCTAACAAAAATGCAAATAAGATGTAATGCATGATAATGTGTTTGAATTGATAGGTTGCTACTGACTTTAAAAAACTTTTTAAATTATTTACAAAAATCATTAAACACACTTAAACAACACTGAAAATAATTAGGTATATCTAAATAGCTAGACCCCGAATAAGATTTAGCATAGTTTATGAAACACTTTGCGGAAAATTCTATGGAAAATGGTATCCTCGTTTAAAATAGTATTAAAGTGATCGCGTTATTCGTAGATCACGCTTTGTGACGTAGGATGACGTCAGCGAAACGAGTCACGCGACGCAATTTTAGGTCGAGACGACAATGTAATAAATGTTTAATTACTAATTCAAAGTCATTAACCCTACGCGAAAGCAGTTTATTTTTAACTAAGTATTTATTTATAAAATTTAGATTTCGTTTTTAGAGTAAATACAATCGGGCAAGTTTGTCGTCAAATGTAATTTAACCATTCAATTAGCACATGCTTCTAGGTTTTGACCGGTTAACCTAGTAATTCTTAACATTTTCGTATACTATGACCTTTTGTGACCTATTTTCCTAAGTAAAAGTACTGCCCATAAGTTTTCGAAAGGACATTTTTGATAGTTCGCAAAAGAGCCAAGACAAATTATATGTCGAATTATTTAAAATTTAAATATCCTCTGTGATACAGACACTGCTGTTCTCTGATTTCATTTTACATATTTACAATAAGCTAAATATTACGCGGCATAAAACATTTTCCAAACATATGTTTACGTCATCGAGCACAGTAACGAAGGTAAGCAAGCGGCTTGCCAACTGTCCGTCCCGTGCATTTCTAATGCTAGTATCACACGAGGACAGAACACTAACACAATGCAGTACTGACATCATTTGAACACAGTGAGACACAATTTTAACAGTAAGTATATGTTCAACGCATAGCAGTACTGCCTTGTATACTGCTCTGTCTAGCCGTCCTGTAATCGTGTGAAGCTAGCAGTACGGTCAATCAATCAATACGTACGCACGCCGGCCAGTGGCGCAGGTTTGTTAATGCGCGAGTAATTTACAACACGTCCCCTGTCTTATTAGACTGACAACTCTAATTTCACTGCTTGATTATTAATTTGTATTATTACCAATATTTATATTTGTATGAAAACAAACTAGTACAAACTCGAAATAGACATTGTATTAAAACTAAATTGCGCAATGTTAATGTTAATACTAGCCTTTGCCAGCGATTCCGTCCACGCGAAATTAAAAAAAAAATAACAAAATTAAGTAGCCTATGTTTTCCAGACTATGTTCTACATCTATGCCAAATTCCATCCAGATCCGTTCAGTCGTTTAGGCTACAAACTCTAACAAACGTCCATCTATTCATCTCAACTTTCGCATTTATAATATTAGGAAGGAGTAAGATTGTCTTGCATATTAATACCTTAAAACCTCATTAAATATAATAAATAAATGTTAATATGATAAAAGCTAACAGTTGACTATCAATAAAAAAATAATAAACATATTATCTATACATAGAAGGAATAGTTATCCAGGCACCGGCTTCCGCCGTTCCGCATAACTAGGCCGCCGGCAGTACTAACGTTATTCACTAATAGGGTACAAAAGGCTAGTCTACACAAGTTGCCATGCATCACTGATCACATACTAATACTCTTAGATAAACCCGTATACTACTGCAACTAAAGCTAATCATTAAAGTGAATTCAGTTAATTAAACAGTTAGTGGAAGTTGGATTACTTCAAACTTTATCACGCTTTTTATTAAGATAATGAAATGTATACATGTCTACTTTAGTAACTTACGTAGTAATTAAATAATCAGCGTATAGTAGTAACGGTTTTTTTGTACCACAATAGTGGACGTTGTCAAAAATACTTACCTTTAGAAGGTCGAAGTGATATTCGAATTGTATTCTTCTCCAAAGATATTGTGTATATTTAAACGGAATGCATGTTTGGAATAATATTAAGTTTGTTTTTCTATATATTATCTATCTATACTAATATAATAAAGCGTAAACTACTTCGTGGCGTAGGATGTGAGCAGTCACAGCATGTTTTCGAATAATTATTTCTTTTATAAAAAGCCGTACATTCACGACATGCTTTAGGCTGTATCTTTTCACGCTCTTAATCTTAGGGGGTAAATAAATAGAAAAAAAACTTCATGTAGGAAAGGGACCATAAACTACAAGCTGCCAACATTAAGGTAGCAAGGTTATTATGGTAACGGTAAATTTGACATTTGCAATTGAGAATATACAAATGTAAACAGTAGAATAAGTTTTTATAATTTCATGCGGATAAGCCCAGGAAGCTTGTTTTTTAATATATGTATTGTTTACAGTCGTACGAGCGTGCCAACTTGGCGGACGCGTTGCTGCCGCGGTCGCTGATCGACGGCGAGCTGATCATCCGGCAGGGAGACTCCGCCGACGGCATGTACTTCGTGGAGGACGGCTCCGTCAGCATCCGCATCACCCGCGATGATGGCAACGACCACGAGATCAAGCGCCTCGGTACGATGCACAAACATACTGTGAAAACTCACACATTTTGTAAATTCTGCAATCAGGCTGGAGAGAAATTAGAATCATTAAGAACCTGTCCCACCAAATTGTAAATTGTCTGATCCAATTTGTTAAATATGTGATGGAAATATCGGATTTTGTTACCTTATATGACAGTGACGTCATTTGTAAGCTATCTGAACCTCTATCAGGGAGTGGTGGGACAGGCACTTAATGTACGGTATACCATCATCGTCAACTCCACTACGCCTCCACTAGGGACTCAGAACTATGTTAGGCCATAGTCAACGCTGGCCTACTGCGGATTGACTTCACACATGTCCTAGAATTTCTTCATGGATATTGCAGGCATCACGATGTTTTCTTTTACCGTAACGTCGGGTTAATGTGCATATACATGGTGGAAATAGCAGAATTTCAAGACAAGAGTTTTAACCCATAACTTGGTAGAATTTTATTTTTTCGAATATCAAAATAATATTCATAGCACTTAACCTTGATGACCCAAGGTGTCTAAAAAAATAAGAAAAAAAATATCTCTACAGACACTAACAAGAAAAGGGTTAGCCCTGAGTTACCGACATTTAAACGTTATTACTTGAAAATGTATAATGATGTTGTTTGATATGTTTAGGCAAGGGCGGTTACTTCGGGGAGCTGGCTCTGGTGACCCACAAGCCGCGCGCCGCCTCCGCTTACGCAGTCGGACCCACCAAGGTCGCATGTCAGTGTCACACGCAATACTTTATTATACTTCATACGCATATAAATTAAGGAAACGACAAATATATACTAATATTATAAAGAGAAACGATTTGTATTTTTATATGTATTGAACTCAAAAACTACTAGACCGATTTTAAAAATTCTTTCACTATAAAAAAATGTTTCAGTGAGTAACATAGGCTATATTTTTTTTATATCCGGCGGTTAATTCATTAGCTACAGCTAGTTAATTAATTTAATATTAAAAAGTTACAAATGAGAAAAATCTATTTTCCAGTCTTGGATGTGGAGACATTCGAGCGCCTGCTGGGCCCCTGCATGGAGATCATGAAGCGCAACATCGACGACTACGAGGAGCAGCTCGTCAAGCTGTTCGGGGACAAGAGCAACCTCACTGACGTGCGATGAACTACCCCTCAACACACCCCCGCCACCCCACACAACCCCCACGCGCACCCTCCACAACCCCCACACGCACCTCCCACAACCCTCATCCCTCCCTTCTCGACTGATCTCCAACACGGCAATAAGCCCCATAACATGGATACCACAATCGATAAATCGGTTCTACAACACTATAATTGAAATTAAACTATTTCTATAGACATTTAAAAAATATATAGACTAGGCATAGTGAAAAATTATTTTCACTGGTAATTTTTTTGACAGGTAATATCAGTTGTACAGGTTCAGTAACACCATGTGCTATATTGACATTTTACAAAATTATAATAAGCGCCATCTTTTGTTATGAAACAAAACAAAACTGTTACAAAATAAAATATAACTGTGTAAAGGTTGTCAATGATGATGTAAAAATGAAGTCTTCAGTCACTTCTGTCAACTATGCTTACTCTATATATTTTAATCTCTTTGTCAATAAAATTCATCAAATCTATACAATATTTGTAAACTCGTATGAAGTATTAGATTTGACGATTGTAGTATCCATACATTAATCTCACGTTGATGTATTCTCAGTCTTGCATGTCTCGATTTAGACGTAACGCTGTTTTTAAAATTTTCAGTGTTAGATGATTGTGGAATTATTAAAATTTTCAATATAACAGTATAAGACCAGTCTAGTTGTAAATCTCAGTAACGTTTCGTCTTTTAGCTTCAATGTGCTTTACTTAACAGCAATTAATCGCAGATAACGTACTATCAGGGAATCTCGCGGTGGTCCACTTTAAAGGTACTAGTTTGGAAATTTCTGTACACATTGAGACGACACAGAAACTAATAAGACGAATATTTCAAATGACTATACAAAAAAGAAATTTTTTAGTTTTTTTTTTGTCAATTCCGTAACTAACAGCTAACTGTAAAAGGTGAAGTTTATCTCGTTGCATGGAATAAAGCAATTTATTTCCAAGTGGAACACTGCGGATTTCCTCAACTGTACCTATTGTATCAAAGAGGCAGTGCCATTTTGAGGGATTTACCTTTAATCGGTAAGTCGTAGTTTTTAGTGTTAGAATGACGTTGGTCGGAGATGTGAGCTATCGTAATACTGCATCTATACGTGAATACGCTTATTTTAGATAGATAAATGCCTTCGTAGCCTTGTAAATATAAGACATTCTCTAACAAGCGATTTACTATTGAATTTACTTGAATAATTGACATTTCATGTCAAACTGCTTGGATATTAAATTCTAGAGGCATGGCTGGACCACCTCTAGCTGGTTAATATATAACTTCGACGTTTTTTTGTCTTACAGTTAACTAAGATTGGAGGCATTTTAGAATTAAAATATTTTAACATGTAATGACCTGTTGGTGCAGTGTTACGGCGCTCGGCTCATACACTGACGCTTTCCTGATTCAAATTTTATATACCGCTAAGTATATAATAGTGATTAGATTTAATCTATTCACAATTTACAATAGATTTTTATTATACATTGTCCTATTCAAGAAAATTCGTTGTTTCAAATGCAGATTAATTTAAATGTATTGACAAATTGTTATGTTTCCTATATATTTAACTGCATATAATTAAAACGGCGTAGTTTTGTTTAGTGAAGAGGTTATAGTGGTTTTTTTGTGTTATTTTTTATTATTATTTATGTTTTGATTTATTTTATGTTGCGGAGAGTTCCTATTTGTTTTGCTCTAACATTTTTACATTTTATAGATCTGAGGTTTGTTTTTGATCGCCGCATGTATTAGAAAATTAATGGTTTTTAAACGTGAAATAAATATTAATATTTAGTGCTGATTGCTATGTTACAAGCTTGCAGAGGTTTATGAAGATTTTTTATTGCGCTCTTATTTGTATAATTTATTTATCGATGTTTGCGCAGGAAATCCCAGTATTATTTAAAACGAAAGATTTATTTACATAGGCACTAAAGAATATACACCAAGTTATTGTGCCATGAATTGTACACCATATTATTTTAAGACTCGTACAAAAACAGTTTGTTTCTTAGATTTTACTTGAAATTTTCATGTTTGAGTTTGTTTTAAGCAACAAGAATTTAAGGTTTTGCACTCTATTCACACAAAATTACACATTACAAACTATTTGCCTACTTCTACGTTTGAAGGCTTATCACGAATATCCGTGCGAATGTTTCGTAATGTCATCGACATTTGTATGAGATTTGCGCAGCGCCCCTAGCGACCATAAAGTGCACCAAATGTCATGTAAATTTTGTCGATGTTATGAATAAATTCTTGCTATTACGCAAATATTTGTGATGAGTCTATTTTTTGTAACTATAATTGATATAGTTATCTTTTGTAGTTACAAATACAAAGGGCAGTTCTATGTAATTAAATCTATGTTTTGAAGTGAAAATAATATTAAATTGTTTATTTATGAATCCAGCCAAAGTAGATGAATGCATAAATCATGTGTAGCACTTAATGTAAGTCGTATTAATGTACGTAGCAGTTAGTTTTTGTCACCTTTCTAATTGTAATTTAATATATTAGTACATTAGGAAAAATTTAACGGAAGTTTGGTACCCTCGAGTGTGAGATGTCATTTCGATGTTATGTACAATATCTGTACAAATTTATTTCAGCTGCCATAGAAGATTTTATTGTTTTATTTATAAATAGATAATTAAAAATGTTGTTTTTTTTTTTTTTGCTATTTTAGTCATTTATCCCGCTATTTAGCTTTTGTCTAATTTAAGATTTCTTTGTCTTTTAAACATTTCCTATTCGAAATTTGTGTTTTTTACTTTTTATAATTTTCACTTCAAGTGCCTCTTTCTTATGTTCAATAATCCTTGTCTCTTTCCTAACATTAATGTTGTGTGTGTGCGTGTGTTTTTAAACTGCCTTTTTCTATGTGAATTTACTGTCTGAGTGTGGATTCTATGAGGATAACTAGTAAAGTTAAATTATTGATGTTAATATGTTCTAACTTTTTTGAGTTTAATTAAAAACCTTATGTTAGGAATTTTATTTATTATTTATAAATTAATATGTAATGATTCTAATATTCTTTATTCTAGGCTAAAAGTAGCCTTTTTAAAATGTATTTTGAATGATTGAAGTTTTGGTTTTATTAATTCAATATTCTTGACATTACTTGAATGTTTCAAGTTTTATCTTCCATACTTATGTATTGGTAACATATATGTTATATTCAGGTGAGGCGAGTGGTCGTTCCCCCGTTGTATTGATCCCTGTAGTTCTAGCGATAGTGCAATAACTAATTATCATATTTATGTCGTTTACATGGAAATTTTCGTCGATGTGAAATTATTTATAGAATAAAATTGAATAGCTTAAGATGTTTTTTCTCTAATGTAATGTTTTATCTCTACCCACGCTAACTATACGTTATATTTACTATTATTTAAATTCAATAAAAATTATAATAAAGCACAAACTTTATGTTGATTGTTTTTAAATTTCTGTTGTCTTCCATTCGGACGCACAGAATGTTTTCTTTATTCCAAATATCTTTATCGTTATTGATGGAATTAGAAGTACGCTTGTAATTGGCGTATACTTTTTTATTACTAGTCATCGGTGTCTAATGTAGATTAGTAATCTGACGGCACATTGAAATTGTTTTTGTCGCATTTCCACGCGTTAGATTAAGTCATCCTCTGTCCACATGTCGAAGCATATCAGAGTATCTCAGATCTGTCGCCCGGCGTCCGTCGCCGACTGCCCGCTTTACCCACGTCATGAGCTTACCCTGTACATTTATAAAATTATGTATCGTAAAATGTTAGAAAACTGAATTATATTTGTTTGTAGATCTAAAGTGGTGTTGTTCATTTACCCCAAATCCTTTGAAATTAGTATAAGGTGTTTCCAGGTTTTAGTGGATATTAGTTAATTTTAAACCTAGTGTGAACTGGTCTTGAGTCGAACATCTTACAGTAGTTTTATACATCTTGTTAGATGAGAACGCAGTTGCATTAATAGAATAATTTATTTTGTAATTTTATACACCACCAATGTGTTTCCATAAGAAATTGACATCTTTATATCTTTGTGTTCCAATAATCTATTGAGTTTTTTAAAATAATACACAGGCTTATTGAACTGTACATAAAATCATGTTAATAAAACCATTTTATGTGTCTCATTTGGTCAAAATTTATTAAATCAAATTATACTTAAACACAAAACATCAAAACATGCAAATTGATAAGAAAATATCTTTATATAGGTTCTGGTTCTCTACTATACACCTGCATTATTTTCTCCATTATCTCCCAATTCTTTTCCTTTTGCAGATCTTTAGTGAAAACCTGAAATTAAAATTAAGGCTGTTAAATAATCTAATCTTAGACAATTACATTCCTTACAAATTAACTAAAAAGGTAATATGGTTTCAACATCAAATAAATGTTAAATACATACAGAATACCAAGCCGCATCATCATCTAGTGTGGCAGCCAATGGAACTGACACTCCCAGGACATGCAGCGCTAATGACAAGCAAGCCACAGCCACATGAGGCGCTCTGTACTCCAGTATCGCAGGGGAATGGTGGAAGTCTTGTAAGAACGACATCGCAGTGCGAGCTATCGGTGCACCACGCCATTGAGTGGCGGGAAACCATTCCTGCAGGGAACGTAAATAATGCAACAAATATCGATGCGGCGACGGCGCGTCTAAGTTGAATCCCAACAAACGTAGAACTAACAGTTCAGCTTGTGCTACTGCTCCTCTCATTGACCAATATTCTTCTCCTAATTCCAATGGTCCAGCTCCGCGATTGATAGAGTTATGAGCTACGTTCACTGCATCACGAAGCCGGATCGGTTCATCTCGTGATTTGCCCGCTGCGCAAAGACAAGCTGTACATATAACGTAACAATCGTAGTCATTTTTGTCAGCTTCTTTAAAAAACTTGTGGTAAAATATTGCAGCGGTAGCGACTGTAGCTGGCTGCAGACCGAGTTTAATTCCGCACTCGAATATAAAGTTCGTAGCCAAACTGTGACCGGAAACACTTCGGTAGTCGGGTAATCTTCTTTCGCGTCTGCTGCTTTGTAAAGCCATTACATCTATTACGTCTTTCATATTTAATAAAGAAACTATTAAGGTTATTCACAAACACAACAAGCCGTTTAAATTAATTTTGTGACATTGACGTTTTACTTGAGTTGCCAGATAAAAAATATACTTAAAAAATCGTTCACAAACAGCTAATAGATTTTTCTAATGTTAAAAAAGATTTTCCTTATTAACATTCAAATGAAAACCAAAAGTGACGACACCAATAATGTAAGATTAATATGGCTTTCACTTTTGGTGGAGTCTAGTCAGTATTTTGAATAGTAGTTTCTTTAGGGTTCACATTATATCCCTCCTGAATGTTAAATGATCGAAGTTCTTTTTTTTCTCTAACTTCCTCGTGTGGACACCCTTTTTATACAAATCGAGAAAATAAGATTTATCCGTGATCAGAGACAGATGTCGCGTAGCTGACGCATCAGTATTTCAGTGCGGCAGCTTTTTATTGAATTTTTAAAAACCTGACAATGCTGCCCCCACCGTGGAAAGTGCATACATCAAATTCTTTTTTCACTTTAGCATCTAAGTGGCATAGTAATTATTTTTATTTAGCACCTTTGCCTCTCTTACTCTACCTCTAAGCTACATCATAATCGCTTAATATTCAAAGTTATAAGAAATTTGGGAAAAGGGAAGGGTAAAAATAAAACTAAATTATTTTATTTGAACATAAAAATTAGAATATAATCATTTTCAGTAATTATTTAAAATTATACACTTAAAAGTACATTTATAGTAAATTCAATAAAAAATTCCAGTGCAGACGAGATACAAAAAAGAGAAAAATATTGTTTTAATTACATCGTTGGTTAAATATTTCGCTTTCAGTAAATGCATTACAAAATATAAGTTGGAACATAATACAAATAAAGTTAAAGATGTCACTCGATATAGAAAAATAAAGATAAGATTGAATCACATTCAAAAATTACCCACTAGTGACTAAAAATTTTACTTTCTTAAACGTTTGTTCAAACGGGAACCGCGCGGAGCGAGCGGCCGCCGCGCTACGAGTGACGCCACGCCGCCATCGCCGCCCGGCGCGGCGCGGCGCACGGCGCGGCGGCGAGCTCCCCATACCGCGCTTCTCACACATCAATTAGCCATCGAAGTACATATAGTAAGGTATAAATAGTGAGGTTAGTATTAACTTTGGCAAATACGAATGAAGCATGGTGATGACGTCATTAAATCGACACAATTGTGACAAATTCAGCTTATACAATGTCCAAAGAAATACAATTGAACGTCGCTAACTTGAAGCCGGGGGTAGTGTTCCGACGCCGTTACTTACCGATACTAAGCTGATCTACGCCGCCTTCACTAACGCTAATTTATAAAACACACTCCGATAACCTACCCCCGGGGCGAATCTAATAAAGCACGAGAACATTTGAGCCGCAACATTTCAGTCTTCAAAAAAGAAGCTTTTGCACAAACCACGTCACTCACAAATCAATGGGTAGTTTTGAGCGTCGAGACTATCACCGGGAGGGTCGCCCGCGAGCGTCGGCGGGCGTCGTGTCGCGGTCCTGACAGTCACCACTCTTATAAACTAAAGGTGATTGGAGCGAATAAATAATGCGGCAGTGTACAAAATTTACATCCCATTCATTCGAAATAATTAAGCAATACGAGTTAAAGTCCAACTGCGGAGAAACATATTAAAATACATTAAGTTTACGCGCTCGAGGGGTAGCCGGCTACACAAATGCCACTCGACGTGGAACTGTGAAATGTCCCTTGACAAAGTTCCGATCTACTTTCGCTTAGTACAAAAGGTCGCCCTTAAATGCAATATGAGGAATATTCTGGAACCTAACTAATCGCCGACGGACACTCAGCGAGACCACTCGAGTCCTAACTCCGCCTCGGAAAGTTTTAAAGTATAGTGAAGCTTAATGTATCCCCGGTCGGGAGTAGAACTGCGCTAATAATATAATTAGTTCGATTTTACATACACATATTGTTACATAACAGTAAAAAACCTACCTAGCAAGAAGCGAGCGTCGCTCGGGCCGCGGGCCGCGGGCCGCCGACGACAGTTGTATTATTGGCCTATGTTGGAGTTTCGCAACATGTTTGCGGCCCGCGCTCTGTAGGCGTTACATTTTCATTTAAGTAATCACTTTTTACATACATCATAAACATAAGATGAAAATAAATGACCTAACTATGACAATAGTAAAGGTTACCGTCTAATTGCATTATTCATTAATGTTATTGATACAATTACTGCCCTAATGCTTAAAAGTAAGATTTTTATTTTATTATTATTAATAAATTATGTTATACAGTATATATATGTATAGTGTTGATTACGCCAAAATCGCGAGTGTATACAAAGTTTATATACTCACATATCTTACATCTGATGTCAGTAGAACCTACGGCGTGGCGCGGCGTGGCGCGGCGTGGCGCGGCGAGACACACAGACAGACAGACAGACTGACAGACAGACACGCAGTCTGCAGACAGCACGATACAAGATAACATCGATACAAACATTGGTTACTTCACTTAAATATAAAATCAAAGAGTGCCGTGTCAAATGGCGACACGAACTCGCTACGTCAAATAAATATCAAACAAGGTTGTTGAATACAATACAATAGTACATCTTATGGCTACACCTAAGGTTATTGTAAAGTGATATAGAAAAAATATGAACACAAAAATATTAAAGATAGTATATATGGCATAACGAATCCATGCTCTTACAAGTAATTAATCATTTTGTGCTTAACATGAGGCTTAACTTAAAACGTATAGTTATCGTGGGATCGGGGGGCGGGGGAGGGGCGAGGGGGAGGGGGACAGTACAGTAAAGGTTGCAAGGTATGCAAAATAAATGATCTCCTTAATCCGACATAGCGGGTACAGTTGTGCATTCAAAAGTTTACAAAAATAATGTTCTCATAAGTGATAATACCTAACAATGGAATGATATTCTGCATCAGTAAAGTAGGCCCGTGACGTACCCGAGATTTGCACTACTGAGTTCTGCGCTAATATTGGTTCCTTTCTGTGTTTGGTCCGTAAGAGAGTGAGTATATAAGCACATTGCTACTGCCGCGACCTCGCGCCGCGCTCGCCGAACCGACGAATCGAACCTCCGATCGCTCCCGAACAGAACCGCCCACGATCGTGTCGAACCGTCGCTCGCGGCTCACTCGCGAACCGAACGCGGCGCGACGTGTCCGACCCGAAGCGTCGCAACTAGATCACAGATAGACAAAACTAATTCAAAACGCCTAGCACCGAAATTTAGAATTGAATATGAATTATCTAGAATCCGCTGATCGCAAACATTATTTAAAAAAAGGTACATTACAATAAAAAAACTCAGAATATTGATCTTGAAATATCAAGTTTGTACGAACTTTACCGCAAACATATGAGCTGACGTAACAGATGCCGAAGCTTTCATAATGATCAAGATATCGTCAAACAAGATTTATAAAAATCATACGAATTCAAGACTAAGCGTATATCAAAAAGACGTTTTAGTTGGGGGTTTAAACAAAGCGGTCACGTAATGGATCTAGTAGCGATGTTTCGGTCGCGAGGCCGCACTGGAACAGAGGATGCGTGGAAGCCGCGGCTGCACATCGGCGGTGGCCGGTGTAAGCACTTCCCATACAAAATACATGAACAGGCTCAGCGTCACACAACCGCCAACTGACACCAACCTTACCTACAACTGGAAAGACGAGTCTCCATCAAACTCACGACGCCGGCACGACCACGAGAACGCCTTCATGATTTTACGAATTCAAAAAAAAAATCCAATATAACAAAAATCATTGATCTTTGATTAATACTCCCCAAATACCACCACTATTTTACTGACTTAATTTCTATGATAAATATTCAGTTACCAGTTTGTTTTTTAAAGAAAATACGATAATTGCAACACTGTTGGCGTCACCAAGTACAGTATTCACGGTCGCACCGCCACGGGGCTATTGTCAAACAGAACGACAAACATTTCGAAGTAGAACACTATGATCTCGTCAATTCTAATATGCTTTTCTAATGCCGTACACAAGTATTATTGTAATGTTTTTAGATAGAACGGCATTAGGAAGCAAGATACACAAGATTTGTGTGATGTCGTGTGAGGTTGGAATAGCCCCTGCGGGTGTGAGGTGTGAGGCGTGTGAGGTGTGAGGTGTGAGGTCTAGTAGAGGCCGCAGCCGCGCAGGTTGTTGGCGATGATGACGTCAGTGACGGCGTCGAACACGAACTGTATGTTGTTGGTGTCGGTGGCGCACGTCATGTGGCAGTAGATCTCCTTCGTGGTGGACTTGTTCTTGGCCTCGAACTGCGCCTGGATGTACGCCGCCGCCTCGCCGTACTCCTGAGCTCCTGGTAATTTACGAAGAAATCGTTTAAACATACTATTTCATTTGTTTATTTCATGATGGAAATTTGTGGTATTCATTTCTTTGCCGATTAACTTTTATCGCCGTGGTAAACAAAGTTATTTATAAAAAACTACATTTAAATTCTAACTTCAAAAATTATACCTGTTAAACACTTATACTATGTTAAAAGATGTGAATTTATAGTTGTATTCTAAAAGTTAATATTGTCTAACTATTAAATTGTTTCGTGAATATTTCCATACCATGACAGCTTTACTTTCTGCCCACTAGGATCTCGATTTTTTTGTATAAATCAGTTTAACAGCCATCGCGTGACGTGTGAACATTACACAGATAATAATCTATTTCTGAATCAATTCACGTCAGCAATTTATATCCGAAGGTATCCAAATTGCTTAATCTCGTGTCATTCGAAGAATCTTAAAATACAGGTATAGGGACAATTCCAATATTATAAAAATTATTAAATTATATTAGCATATTGCTCACAATTTTAAATACAAACGATGTTACATATTAGTCATGCAATTATTTCTAAAAACTTTACTAATATAAAGTATAATACGGTTTAAAGTTAATGGCGATTGACATAAAGTGATACTTCATCTACAAAATATTGTTAGATTTTTTTTAAAGATTGTTAAGCTAGCGCAGTCGAAAGATGGCACCCGCTAGCCTACTAAATTACTCCGTTTACTCTTCTTTTGAAGGCCACGTTTTATTTGGACGTAATAACAAACTCCGGCAACTTGTTCCAATCCCTTGCACCACGCAAAGGGATTAGAATAAGTTAGAATATCATAATAATGTAAGTTACCCGAGTACTCCGGGAAGCAGATGGTGAGCGGCGACTTGCGTATCTTCTCCTCGAAGAGATCCTTCTTGTTGAGGAACAAGATGATGCTGGTGTCCGTGAACCACTTGTTGTTGCAGATAGAGTCGAACAGCTTCAAACTCTCCTGCATACGGTTCTGAAAACGATAAAACAATTGTAAGAATAAATCAAAATAACAGGATAAGTAACATAAATGTTAAGAGGTTGCTGTTCTTGGGCGAGTTGGTACAATCTGTCAGTTTCAGAAACGAAAGACGTACTACTAAATTAAAATAATTCATACGCTGAAAATAATAACCAAAAATGATGATAAAATTTAATTGTGGTAGGAAAGATGTAACCATGTGTGTATTTGCATTTACCAGGTAAATTTATTACAGTAACATGTAGTGAATTAGCTAATAATGGATATAATACACTAACAGGATAAATTAGTCACTTTATTGTAAAATATTATATATTTATAGAAAAAATGAATTAAATCTTATATATATTAACGAATGACGACCTAATGCTCTTATTAAAGTGTAAAAAAAACCTTTTTTAGTAGATAATTCTCATATTGGAGGATAAAATAAAGTTGAAAACTGCACAAAAAACTCCGTAACTATCTTTAGTTATCAATTTTTTTTTAAAGATTACTTTGTAATGTTCAATCTCACATACCGTCGTCTCATCTTCATGCAGCACCTGGTCGTACTCGGACATGGCCACACAGAATATGATCGCGGTCACGTCCTCGAAGCAGTGGATCCATTTCTTTCTCTCGGACCGCTGCCCGCCCACGTCGAACAATCTGGAACAATGCAACATATCGGTGAGTTTCCATTGTCGCCACACTTGTATAATAAGGAAGTTGCCATGCCTCTTAGTCTTAAAAAAAAAATAGTCGTGAAAGACAGCTACTAAAGTTCATTTCTTTTATATCAAATACGTGTGAGGCAAGTCCTCGTAAATGTTACTCACTTGAAATTAAGATTTTTGAAGGAGAAATGAACTTCAACGATTCCGGTGGTTTTGACCCTGGTCCTGAGGATGTCCTGCTCGGTGGGCTGGTAGTCCCTGGCGCCTAACCGGTCCAAGTCGTCGAGGAAGCTGGAGAGAAAGAGGTACATCGTACAATATCGAATTTAAAACAAGACATATTTTTGACATAGATAATTAAATTAGAAATCGAATAAATAGATTAAGAAATTACAGCTTGTTGCTGTGTATTTTACTATTTTTTTTTAATAAAATTTACTTCATAGAACACTCTTTTTGCACTTAATTTGCGAGTTTATTTTAAACATACATAAAAGGCATATTTGGCAGTCATCGTTTTATATCTGTGATAACAGTCGAATGTTTTGCAAACACAGTTGAAGGAGAAAAAGTTATCGCTGCAACGTCACTCAGCATCAACCTACTAATGCAATTTATCAATATAAAAAAAACTAAATACTATATAACTTAATGACGTTGGCAGAGATCATAGAGGTAGGGATTGGATTAGAATCCACTTTAATTATGAAATAACCCCTTTCTTGACGATTGTGATTCTGCAATCCATTTAACTCTTCTAACAAAATATTCCAATATATACGTGTAAATACGTCCTGTAAACTAGTACATACGTTCTCTTTACTTTTGTGGTCTAGAGTTGTATTGAATTAATTGTGACGTAATCTTTGACCTCAGCGTATCAAGGACAATTGGTGGGCAAGGACAATTAATTACAGTTAATATAAAACATCAAAGCGCATGACTCAAACTACGTCTTTGCTGCATTCTTTATGGAAACGTGGCAACAGGGTCTACGTATATGGTATAGACACTGCATCGCCTTTTTAGGTGTACTAATAGACAAAAAGATTCCGGATTCCAATCAAATGACAATCAAATTGTCATATGCATAATGATAAAAAGAAACAAAAAGAGACAATGGGCATTCTGATGTAAAAATGCGAATATTCTCCCAATCCGTTAAACCACTTAATTTGTTGCATATAATTTAGATAAATATATGTGTACTTTAATTTAATTTACTCTACAAGTAACTAGTTACCAGTATGTGTTCGCAAGGAGACATATTTGATAAAACTGCAATCGTATGCTTATCGAAGTCTTATAAGGAAACAGTAACGAGAACGCCCTTACAGCGATACTCATGTACACTAGCATAAGTGATCGACCAATTTGTTACACGACCATAAACGAGATATTTAAAAGGCGCTTTTGAAAAAACGTCCTTTACAATTAAGAGTTCACAACAGGTCATTATAAGACATGCGTTACTTGAATTATTTTATTTTTATTAACGTATTTTAATTTTTTAAAAAATAGTCTGAAGACTACGAGGTCTATTAAAATATTTTTGGTTCGAATTAAAAACTTAACTTTTTTTTAAACATAAAATATCCAGCAAAAACTATAGATGTTTTTTTTATGTAACATTGCGTATTAATTTATAATTTGTAACTAATTCACACAGTACAAGATGCAATTTTCCATATTGATTTTGAATGGTTCGCGTGGAGGCCAGTGTAGGCCTGCACCGGTACAAGTTGACCTAAATGAGTTGCAGGTTCGATGGAGTATGCACACTATGACTTTTTATAGTAGGAAAAAACTGTGCGGAATGTGTACTACTCTACAAACACTAGTGTGATTAAGATTCCTTAACCATAATATTATCACTAGGAAAATACTGTAACCGCACATATATCTGTGAAAAACCTATGTCAATTCGCATTGGACTAGCGTGATTCCATAAGTCTAATCATCCCTAATCTGAAGTATGCTCGAGCACAACTATAGAGAAGTATGAGCTGGCATTAGAAGTAATAGAATTTTACTTTCACGAGAATGATACAATAAAATAAAATAACATTTAATCCTTGACAACATTACAACACAATCAGAAACAACAAAAATATGATGACTGCGTCTAAATGTCACTAGTAACCAAAGCAACACTGCCAAAGTGTTAAAAACTTCAAAATGTACAATATCGAAGACTGAATAACACATATAACATTATTACCACTATTATGAAACTGGCATCTTCCAAAGAACTTGTTGGACGAGTGCCCGCAACAATTCCATTGCAGGCAACAGGTACCGGAATAATTGCATCTTTTATCGACTGCAAGTGTGTTAATTGGCGATCGAAAATACCTTTTAATACCGGATTCCGATTTCAAACAAGCCTTTAGACACGTTTGCTGCTAGATCAATAATTTATCACTGTTCTTTGATACTGTCTTTGCTTGTCAATCTGTCATGTTAAACATCGAACTTTAACAGTTACTGTAGACACGTATATTACGTAAGAGTGGGCGAACAACTTTGACTAAACTATCCCAAACTGTGCGATTGTCAATTTTCGAAGCCAATTCAACTGTTGCACAACTAAAAATTGAGTAGTTTGCGCACCCGTATACGCTCATAGAAATCAAAACGCGACTAAACAATTATACGATAGTTTAGTCAAATGTGCTCTCTAAATTTATTTATCCTCTAAGGTTAGGGTTTTAAATGTCAAGACTTGCAGCATTAAGAGGGTGTATCACCAGACAAGTGTCTGGCGATGCGCCAGCGTCGTCCGATGCGATATTGTAAGCACTTAGGAAACCGAAGGATTACTCCTCGTGCTACAAGTGGTTAATGTTATGTTAATTGTTTTACGTCATTTTATTTTGTCTTGTAGTTTCATGCACAATCTTAATTTTGTATCTTCACTGCTTATAGTCGCGAGATATAGACATCCAATCCAATCCTAGCTGACTAGAAAAAGGTCTGTCACAATGGAATAAATTCAAATTTCGTTAAATTTAAATTCACCAAAGTTGACTTATCTGAAAAAACGGCAATATACCAGCGAAAAGTATTCAATGTGAAGTAAAGTTCGGTCCTCAGCTAGTTACATTTTCATCGCGTATTCCAACATTTGAAAAGCCACAGTAAAAAGTTGATTGGAACTGCGGGGGCAATATATTTCACGGCTCGCAGTTATGTAAGGCTCTCAGCGTTTCGTGCTATGTAATGAATCAGAGTGCGCGGCGCAGGGGAAATCCAGTGACGCACTCTAGTTATTCATTTTAAACCTTTTTTCCACTGAATGAATGGTATATAACGAGTAATGTACCAAGCAGTCGGCTGCACCAGTATTAATGGTAAACTTATTGCACATACAAAATGGACCAGTCAGTTCCCAGTCGTGGTGGTGAAAAGCAATCCACCTCTAGTTTTACGTTTCAATATTTGCTCGTTAATTAAAACTTTGCGGCTGATGTAACTGTTTTAAATGCATAAGCTTTTAATTTTGAAAGTAGTGTTTTTAATATAGTGCTACGTCGTCGTAGCGACATCATGAAAGGCTATATTAATATAGCAACGTTTTAAGCTGTAAAGCGTTGTCTTTATTAAATTTTAATAATCCATTTTGCCTTGCCGTTCACAAACGCTGAAGTGTAAAACTTGGGATTTTTGAAAAATCTGCAGAATATAGAATTTACATAGACAATGGTAGAACTATATGGTTTATTCAAGGATTGTTAGTTTCGTATTGATTATAAAATGGTCATCATTGCTTAAAAAAAAACCTTATGAACGCAGCTATCTGTTGTAGGTTTGAAAAAATCATGGATAAGGAAATATGTGAACTTTATAATCGAAAATAATAAAATTTCTGCAGCATCGTCAGTTTTCCACTAAAATGAGAGAGTTATGATAGATAGTGTTTTATTTACGTGGGCAATGGCGGATTCGAGGAAACATATTTCTTATTCATTTTCCTACTCAAGTGATTTCTTCTTCAATAAATATGTACATATATATAGAAGTCTTTCATAAAACTTTGGAATTTATAATTTACAGTGTATAAAGCAAAAGATCTAAAAATGACTGAACTAGAAGTCGTTAGGATATTATTGAAAAAATGATTTGAAACCATACTTTCGAACACACAAAATGACACATATCATAAGAGATACAAAACTCGATACCAACATTATCAAAACAATACTACAGAACTTTTTTAGACATTTAATTAATGTTTTCTATTGTTGTTTCCTATTCCAGTTAAGTAAACACTAACGATAAAATTAAATACTTTCACAGTTTGTTTTATAAATTGAAGTTAGAGTGAGTTTTTATTTTCACCAGGTACAAGTGCACAATGGGGGCTTGTTTAGCCGAGACGCGGCGTCGAGGGCTCTCAGCGCGCCAAGTGAACATCGCACATTCGCGACACGAGATCGCTTCTTCATAAGAAACTATAATATGCAACTTAACAAAACTCGTTCGAGGTTTTACAAGTGGTAAATAAGTAAAAATTGCTGCGGCACCCAATATCGGTCACTGAGACATCCCATTAGTATACGTATCTTATGAAATGTTTACTATTGAACATCAATTATCGTTTCTGAGTATCACAGACAAAACAAATCTATATTAAGATGCCATGTTTCTGCAAGGTAAACGAATTCAAATTCGATAGTCCCCTGTCTTTGACTCGGAAACAAAAACAAGTGTTTCTGTACGGATGTGTGGAGTTTATGAATTATTCAAGTCTACATAGAGACGAGCTGGATATTTGCGAGTCAAAAACAAGTAACCAGGCCGATGTAGACGATAGACTCTTATAAAAACAGAAGTAACATAAAAACCTATCGGAATTTACGTTATTTCTGCGTTGAAAAACCACTCAATTATACGACGTAGGGCGATGAATGTTTTAAGATCCGAGATAAAAAAAAATGTTTTGCTGACGTCAAGGTGCTGTCAACGTGAAACGGGTGAGCACAAAATGGATTACATTCCGATCATTAAATTATTAGCCCAAATGTCTCTATCAGATAAACAATTGAAATTAAAATTAAACATTCTTTATATGTCCGATCTAGTCAACTATAATAGTCTCTGCAAGATGCTGAAAATAAAATGGATAAAAACGATTCGAGTTCCATCTACATAAAATATAAAGCCAAGCCACAGAGTTTTTGCGCATTGCTGAGATTTCACAAAATTCATTCTCTCTCGGTCTCATCATTTCCTTAGGGATTTTTCAGAGCGAAAATCTCAAGTCAAACTACTCTACTATTCCTATAATT